ATCCATCTATTTATTTAAAGTATTAGTGCAGTTAACATAGATGTACTTTGATATTTGATGCTATCTATTATCTTAAACTCAAATAAAGAAATTAATGGTTAACTTGAATAACTAAAATATTCAATGAACTGTCTTTATTTCAACACTTACTTCAACTTCAGCTCTAACATTGTTTGGAGCAAGTTGTTGGAGTCAGATAACGATCAATCAGAGTGAAGAAACAGTTTCCTGACAAATGAAACAGCAAAAAACAGAGACGTAGAGAAGTTTAGAAACAGAAAACAGTCCTTCATAGGTCACTGAAGAGAGCAGCAGGTAGGAACTGAAAACACTTTTATTCCATAAAAACATAAGAACACTGCAAAACTATTTAAAATATGCATTTCACTTACTGTATCTGCTACAATAAATTAGACTACTGGATATAATGATGTGGAACCAATTATATGGACGATTTGTCCTCAGTTTTTGAGTTTCTTCTGTAGAGACAGTTCACTGTCAGACTGATTTTGTGTTAATCTTTCACATTAATAACAGCTAATCTGTGATTTGCGTTTGATTGTCAAGTGAAAACCTCATCCCTACAAAATGTCTCTGGAAAATAAGAAACAAACACTTTATGATTAGTTTATGTTCATGAAATCTTTAGTGAAATATGTATTTCTCTTTATTTCGTGTTATAGTTTGTTTGTTCAGGAAAATGCTCATTGATCAACAGAAAGAAGAAAAAACGTAAATGGGTCCCAGCTAACCTTAATCAGATGTTGAAAAAGCCACACTAAAATAGAATACAATTATATAATATATAGAATTATATTATATTATATTATAATTATAGACTGCAATTACAACAATTATCTTCTAACTTATTATTTTCAGTATGCCTTATGTTTTCTTTAATCCTACAAATATCAAAACAAGGAAATAAACAAGGTTTTAACATAACATAACATCCACAAAATAATCAGCATGTGCCGACAGTTTTTGGAACAAGGTAAAATCTTTAATGTCACTGTAAAACACTGATGAAGAACATATAGAGCTATGGAGACCAAAAACAGGCTGCATCAAAATTGTGACACCATTAGAAATGTAGGACCAAAATGTTCTCTATGTAAGCCACGTTTACAAACCAACCACAACACAGCAGGAAGTGTCTATAGCCGCCATATTGGACATGCCCATAGAAGTGAACACGGACATATCACATCGTGTCTATTGGTAAAAAAACGGCAAACAATCGGACATCCCTCCAAACTGTTATTGTTTGTGACTGATACAGATTAATTTAGATCTTATTAGACCAATCTTTAGGCCCAATACACTGTTTCATTTTGGGCTATCTGAGAGGAAAGTTGACAATCATGAGAGAAACAGAGAGAGAGAATCTTCAGTCATCAATCAGAAACAGCGGTCCCAGATCGCACTGTGAAACACCATTGATGGCTGATGGCTGAGCTTTGGGGACCAAAGTCAACCTGAGGCAAAATTTAGTACCAAATTCTTACAAGGTGACAGCTAAAATCCACAACTTGAAATGACACTGAGTGGCACTACATTTTTGAATGGAAAGTTTAGTAACAAAAACACATGAGGGTTTACTGTTTTAAGGTTTTTCAATGCTTAGAAGTAGCAAACTACTTCCACCATAGTGCAACAATTCACCATGCATTCATTGCACATCTGACAGCCTCAAATTGATATGGAACAGCCTAACAGAATTTATTAGACCCGTCTCGCACAGTGTGACGTACAATAAATTGTTGTTGTCGCTCAGTCTAAAAGGAGCCTTTGCACTGTTTGACATGAGCCTGTAGACTAATGATTCACAAATCAAATAAATTTATATGGACAAAGTGATGGTTCCAGTAAATTCTGTGATTTTAAACCCACCATGAAAAGGTGAAATTGAAGCTACGGGTTTATATTGTAGACCAAGGTGATTTTTTATATATTTTAAAAGTTATCAGAGGGTTTTATTGTCCACGTCCTTTCCACAGGTTTGGGATGGCCATTGATATGAAAACCCCTCCATGTGAAAATGGAGGCAGGGTGAGTGTTTCAGAGATTGAATTGGGACTGAGACTTATTTGTTGTCTTTCCTCCATTTGTCCAGAGCTATCATGATGGCCCTGCCCTTCCTGTCCTACGTCACCCTCTGTATCATCGGATCTACCACCACCATCTTCGCACTGCCGCCGACTGAGCCGCCACTGATCCACGACCATCCCTTTGTGGCCATATGGAATGCCCCCACTGACCAGTGTCAACTGCTCGACATCCCACTGGACACGGCAGCCTTCCAGGCTGTGACTACCCCTGCTGCGGTGTCTGGGCAGTTCCTAACCATCTTCTACGAAGACCGCCTCGGCCTGTACCCTAAGGTCGACATCAGCAAACGCAAGCGCTACAGAGGCGGAGTACCCCAAAATGGGAACCTGACGGAGCATCTGGCCAAGGCCCGTGGTCAAATTCATCACTTCATCTCCCAGGATTCCTCTCCTGGGCTGGCTGTCATCGACTGGGAGTCCTGGCGCCCCCTATGGGACCAGAACTGGGGATCTAAACGTATTTATCAGAAGTTGTCGATCACTCACGCCCTGCAGATAGCCCCGTTTTTATCATCAAAGAAAGTTTCAAACCTGGCAAAAAACCAGTTCCAGCAGGCCGGCCAGCGCTTCATGGAGAAGACCATCAGCCTTGGCATCGGAGAACGTCCAAGTCGCCGCTGGGGCTTCTATCTGTTCCCTGATTGCTTCAACTATGGCTGGGACAAGCCTGGCTATACGGGGAAGTGCTCCACCAAGACCCAGAAGCAGAACAACCAGATGGTGTGGCTGTGGGAGCGAAGTACCGCCCTCTTCCCCTCCATCTACCTCCACCAGACCTTGAGGAACTCCCCCAAGGCCATGCTCTACGTCCGCAACCGTGTCCAGGAGGCGCTGAGGGTTGCCATGTTGCCTAAACGTCTATACACAATGCCTGTCTACGTCTACTCCAGGCCACTGTACCGGGACCAGACCGAGAAGTTCCTGAGCCAGGTGAGCCAGTTTAGTTACTTAAGAGTAGCTTAAGATGCTTTTTCACTAACCTTAGGTTAGTAATACAGTTGGTATTGGGCACTGGTTGAAGATTCTTCAATGCTGATGCTTGGATACCTGGAAAACAAACAATAAACGTTGGCTCGGCTTGGTTGCTACAGAGAGACGGCTGTCAATAAACATAACACCAGACCTATAATTGCTGTAAATTCAGAGGCCTGGGTAGGATGTTATGAGTAATCTTGATAAATGTCTCCGATTTCAGCAAAAAGAAAAAGAAAAATCATACATGATGATTATTGTTTGTACAATTATTATTATATTTATTAAGAAATACAATGACCATTTATGGTTATTATCTGTAAATCAACAATATGTTAATGAAGATAACATATCATATTTGCAATGTATTTTGCCTAAAATAGTACCTAACAATTGTCCCAGCCAGGGTTCCCTATTGCTGACTGGGCAAAAAATACACAGAAATATACTGTCTAAGTAAGAAGTGTGTTATATCTGTATCTGTCTCTTGTATGGGATTCCAGCCCGAAAGAACACTTCCTGCTCCCAGCTGCATCACTATGTGACACTAAACTCATTTTGACAAAAAAAAGGAAAAGACATTGGTGATTAAATCGATTATCTGTAACAGCAAGTTTGTTGTCTCTATATGTTGACTTTCACAGAGACTTTATTAAAACAAATGAAACTAATATAAAAAAATATTAGTAGGAGTATTCTATTAAACCTCCTGTGTGGTTTGTCCTCCGTCAGGCTGACTTGGTGAGCACCATAGGAGAGTCTGCAGCTCTGGGGGCTTCAGGGGTCGTAATGTGGGGAGGAACCAAAGACTACAACAACAAGGTAACTCACTGGTTGGACTGGTCATTACAGGATTGTTTTCCCAAGTCTTTCCAAATATTAACAAGCCAATATGTAGGCTAACACAACTATGCTGCAAGAGATTTTAGTCTTTTCAGAATATTCCCTCTTTCTGTTTTCTCTGCCAATGTTTTGAGCTGCAGTGGAGGGAGAGTCAGACAAATGTTGTGTATAAGAGAGAGAGAGAAGCTGGAAATAATCACACAGACTTGAAGACTTTTTTATGTGTAATACTCTTCACAGGTCTGAAAACAGTAACCAAGATGACTTATATTAAGAATAAATTTGCCTTTGTTTCCTCTTTTAGGAGGAACTGACAGCTATAACAACACAGCATTAGTTATCTCAACTGACAAAAGTCATTTGACTTTTCTGTTCTTGTATTAATTCTTATTTGATGTATTCTGTTATTTTTGTAGCACAATCTAACAGAAAAAAAAGAAGAAAAAAACATATATATATATATACACGGTACAGTTTTGTATTTATGGAGAAGGTTGTAGTCATGCTAGTGGCAGTTGCAACATCAGCCTGTCTGCTGATCAGCTGGTCACCCACCACTTTGGTCCAGACGGAACATTTCACATTTCAATATGTGACAAAAAATATTTCAGTCTCTTCTCTAGGTCTTGTTTTCTATATCGTCTATCGTGTAGGATTTAGCTTGCTTGCTTTTTTTGGAATTGTTTCGGCATAAAACATTTTTAGGCATTTCTTTGCAATGAAACTGCGAGAGAAAGTGAAAATTGCAAAAGTAGTTGCAATATTATTATTTTTTGTATAATTCAAAGGCACCTTGTGAAAAAAAATCACACTGTTTGGACAGGGTACATTTGAAATGTTTGCAATGCACATGTCTGCATGGTCTGCATTTTTACAACTAGAAAATAGGAAGTGATTTTGGAGACATGACACTCAGTGTTTTGTGCAGGAAACCTGCAGAAAAGCTGCAGTGACTGGACAAAATTGCAAGGTCACAAGGATTGGTTGAATTTGTGTTAATTGCAAAAAGGGGATTGTGGAAATTTTTTGTTGTTTAATTGTTGCTTACTTTTGCGTCCTGGAGGGACTGGAGAGTGATTAATCATTTTCTGACACATTAATTTTTCTAATGTTAACCAACTGGACCCTTCAAAGCCGATAAGAAGGACCTTTTATTCTTCCTAAAACATTTACCAAAGAGTCTACTCAAACCCACGTTCCTCCCTCTAGGGCTGCTGTTTTTCGGTTTCTCTGGGTTTCGTTGAGTAACCTGACATCCCACCTTCAAACCCCAATTAAACATCGCCAAACGTGACGGCCAGCCGCCATTGCCTCTGCGCCAGTTTTGTGTGCAAGGGGGCAAGGGCGCTTGCATTCAGGAAGGAAATTTACGACTTCTGGCCAAATACTGGCCAACTAAACCCGTCAATTCAGAATTCTGGCGGCTGAGAGGAAGGTACGTTGGCCATTGGTCGCCCCTTCGCCGCAAAGACATGGAACCGCCTGGGGCTCGAAAAAACAAAAAAACTTTCACCTGGTCAATGCTAACGGCAGGGGAGCTGTCAACCCAGACTCTGCCCACCCAAAAACCCAACAAAATTTCCAAAAAACCACTGGGTTTAAATTTTGTCCCAATTGCGGCCCCTGCTGGAAAACAAAAAATTTAAATTTACAAAAGTAAAAAAAACTAAACTGTTCTTAATTTTGAAAATTGATGAGCCAAATCTTCTGGGTTTTTATTTTAAAAAACAGGAAAAATGTAAAATGGAAAAAAATTATTATTTTAAAAAATCAGGAACACAAATGTGATTATTTTTGAAACTTGAAAACTTAAAAATCGTTACTTATAAAATGCTTTTTCGCAAAATTTTTTTGCATTTTTTTGGTTCATGACAACATAATTAGACACTGAAAACCCGAACGGCCAAAGGAACTTGAGGAAAAAGTTTAATAAAAAATCAGGATTATAAGTAAAAAGAAGAAAAAACAAAACAAGTAAATAAATTCCCAAAGCAAGTTTTTGACAAGACTTTTTTAAAGATTGTTGTTTCAAGAAAACCTAACTCAATACAAATGAAGGGTTTTAAAACATGTGGGATTTCTCGCGGATTGTGGATGTGTAATACTTGTATTGATCGTGGGTATAAATTATCATCTTATTTGTGGGATTATAGGCAGGAAATTTAGAATTTTGGAACAGTTTCATGATGTGGGTAAAAAAAAAAATCATACTGCAATTATTTGGACAGTTACTGCAACTGTGATATGATTCATAATTAGTGTGGGAATGATCATTTTTGCATAACAAATTTAATTTTCACTGAAAAAACAATTAAAATCATGATGATGTGACATTTGTTGGGGTCAAACAAACATGTTTTATTAAATCTGGAGAACAATATTCGTAGACCAGAGCATCTTTTCAGAACTGCAGCACTTTTGTTGTTGTTTTCTCACACATTTTACATTTGCACTTTGGATCACACTCAGAGGACTTCACAAACCCAGCCTCAATATGACCACAAACCACAGCACTAACTGTGTCAGGGGAAAAAGGTGACAGAAACATGCAGGTCGCAGAGGCAGAGCAGATGCTCTGACGCTTTCTGCACTTCATTCCCAAAATGATTTGTAGGCCTGTATAAATGACTCACCTCGCGTTGCCTTGAATTCCTGAAGACTTTTTTTCTCTCCTGCCAATGCCTCCATGTGAACCCAGAATGAATCCAAAACACGCTCTCCAGACTCACGCAACTATAATCCAAGACTCATTTATCCAGTCATATGCTCCATACTTCCAACAAAGATTGCTAATGATTTGTGTCAGAAAGCCCTGGAGGCAAACCAGTAGACTACACACACCTGTGGTAACAACAGCGTACCACGCACATCAGCGCAGATGGCAGGGGAAAAAACACAAACAGTGGAGGAGATAACGTGGCCATGGCCTGAGAGAAGCCCAATGACGTCTGTGAGTTTAGGACACGCCCCTCCTCCTTTTTGATCACATAACAGTAAATAAACCTCATTTTTAATGTATTATTATTAAAATGTATTATTCTCAAGCGCTTTTACCTAAATGTTTTTTAAAAAATATTTCTTATTATTATTGTGCTTTCACTATTTCTATTTATCTATTTATTTTGTATTCTTTTATTTTAATCTCCTCCTTCTTTATTATGCTTTTTATAATTCTATTATTTAAAATTTTAAGTTTGTTGTTTTAACTCTGAGCTTTCTTGTTTTTTACTGTTGAATCTACCTGTGTATAAAACGTGCTTTAACTGCCTTGCCTTTATCAAAATGAATTGATTTTCTCCCAGCTCCCTTTGTTAGACTTGTTAATAAAACCCAACTGAATACCAGTGGATAGTAAGTGAGTTTGAACAGGTTGATGTTGATCTGTGATGCAATCAGCCAAGCTGGTTCTTCATGTGATTTATCACTCTGATGATGAAACCTGGTAGATTTCCTTCGGCTCAGCCTGGAACACATCAGGACATCCCAATAAAAAACACCTCAGGCCTACAAATCATTCTCCTCTGACAAGTTTCCACAAGTGTTCTGCCTGTAATTGAAGCTCCTGCAACCGCTTATTTAAAGAGGAGCTATTTAGACTCACAGAGGAGAGCAAGGTTAGTGTTTATGACTAACAGGTAATAGTTTAGCAACTCACCGAGTGTGCAGTTTGGACAGCAGGAAGTTGGACCCCCAGAGCAGGTTGGTGCTTTTTAATGACGTCTCATTTGGGTTCAAAGGTTTATAACATAAACATTACTGGGGTCGAGTTCACAGCTGTGACATTGTTTCTACCTTGAAAATAAAGCGACAGCAGTGTTATTTAATTTATTAACTCAGAATTTAACTAGCAGAAATCATAAAACTGTCAGGCTGTAACCTGCCTCGAGATAAGAATACTGTACTTACACATCAGATCCTGTGACCTCGTAAAGATACTGAGGCTAACACTGTGTAGTGTGTGTAAAACTATCAGTCAATGTTTTTAAAAGTGAGTATGGTGTTTGCAATGTCACTGTGTCTTATAAGTCAGTGTAAGCAAAAAATAACATGTCTGGAAATTAACATACATACAAACGTAATTGAATCTGGTAAGGTTTGAGACAGAGACAGACTAAGTGATAGGCTCAAGTTCGATGAAAAAATACATGTACTTGTCCGTCTGAAGATCTGGAAACAATTTATTGATCTCTAATTATTCGATATTTCTATTTAATGCTTTACTAATGTGCTACAATGTCGTAAAGTTGTTGAGTTCAAATGTCTTCATTTGGGGGCTTCTCCAAGCAAATATTGACATGTGTGACTGTTAGTGATTAAATCAGCATATATTTCTCTATGCCACCAACTTGCCATCCCATGTTTATTATTTAAATTCAAGTATAGATTTAAATAATAAACATAAAAATAAAAGATTTTGGGTAGCTGAGTACCAATGATTTTTTGGCCGATTTGAATCACCCATTGCACAGTCCTCCTGTCCTGGGCTGTACGCATCCCATGCCAGTTTGTGATCTTTCAGCCACGATGCTTCCTATAGTTTCCTTAAGAAATAGTAGTAATTTCTCAGCTTTCTTAACCAGTGAGGAAATGTGCACCACCTCAGCTCCACTGATGTGTGTGTCTTTGCTTCTTTTCTCCTAAAATCAACAATCCTTGTTTTTGCTGACATAGTAGGTTGTTTTCTGTGCACCACTCTGCAAGATTATATATTTCCTCCCAATATGAATCGCATGTTTGAAATGCAACTGACGACAGTGGTGTCATCTGCACATTTCACAACTGAGTTGTCTTCATGCCCGGAGGATGCAGTCATAGGTGTACAACGTAAACAGGAGGGGGCTGAGCACATACCCCTGATGGGCTCTGGTGTTGAGCACTCGAGTGGAGTAAATCTGTTCTAATGAATATTTTTATATTAACAATGGTTCATGTGATTCTGGGTAACATAAAGGGTGTCACTCCTACACAGAATTCTCTCAATTTTATTTGAGTTTTCTGCCTTTCACCACACAGAATCTCTTCTGGAGCTCTTAAAGCTTAATAGGCCCACAGTCTCAGTAAGTGAGTGAGCGTGGCTGCCATGAACTGAGAGCAAGAAATACTGAAGCTGCTGATGTTTCATACCTCAACAATTACTGAGTCAGCCCTTAGTCTTTGTCTAATAAAAACACATAAATCTTCCATGAAGTCAGGACATGTGGTGCTGTATCACTGCTGTTATATGCAAAACTTTCCAACTCCATGTTTTAACTTGAACAGAAGTGTTCTGCTGAGCTGGAAAAAAAGAAATATGTGGTGGTTAACTAAGTGTGTTATGGACCAAATATTAGGCTACTTTGGGGAATTTGAAAACTGGTGGGAAATTGAGCAGTGAAACTGAGAAAATGTAGTAAAAGGTAACCAGACAAAACTAACAACTGAATACGTCAATACTATTGGTCATTAGCCTAAATAAAGATCCCCTCTACTCAAAAATGTTTTTTTTCTCAGTAGCTAAAATAAAATAAAATAAAATAAAATAAAATAATTCAGTATATCAGTATATACATGTGCATCTTTTGAATTTACTTGTGGTGGAATGTAAACAGCAGCAACAAGACAGTGATGATAATATGGTTTCATCTTCACATGAAAAGAAACAGTGTCCATCCACTGACTGCATTTGAGCACAGAGCATTATTGATGTAAACTCAGAGTCCACCCGTCGAGGGTTTGATCCAAGATGTTGATGATGGAGCAGGTCTCTATAGAGATGTGGGCACATCTGCTTGGCCAGCCTGAATCCTATTTCATCCGACATTAGGCAGGAGCAGCCTTAAGTAAAAGCTGGGCAAGCATGGCTCCTATTCGACTCTCTTCCCTTTCTTCTTCTTGTGGTGGGCTGGTCAGGTCTGGTCAGTCTGACTGGCTTGATCATCTCAAAGTCCAACAAAAAATACATATTAAAACAAAAATGTAGAATGTTTGGAGGAGCAATCACTTGCTGCATATACATGTACAGTTGTTGCCACGGTGATGCCAAAATGCAACATTTAAATGTACATTTGTAAAAATACACCTAAACCTGCGGCTGTCCTTATTTGCTGCGACTTTGAACAGAGACCAGTTTATTGTTCTGTTTCTTGTTGTTGAACAAGGTAAGCTGCATAACAGGTGTGAGGTCATTGTCCTCTCTATATCGTTAGCCTGAATGCTAATGCTACAACCCCGCACATCTGAGAAGATGAGAAGACATCAAGAACTCTTCTAATTGTTCTTACATATGTTTCTATTTCCTCAGATTACCATTTCAAAATGAACCAAGTCAAACTGATCGATGACAAACATCATTTCTTCTCCATCTTCATCACAATGTTGGCCCTGCCGTGCTCTCTCCAGGCCTTACCGAGGACAGACCCTCCCATCCATCCTGGCCACCCCTTCCTGTTCATGTGGAACGCCCCGACCGAGCTGTGCGATATCCGCTTCGGCATGCCACTTGACCTCTCCTACTTCCACTTTGTCAGCAGCACTCTGAAGACAGCAACCGACCAGAGCATCTCCATATTCTACACTGACCGCTTCGGTATCTTCCCCTATGTGGACGAAGACACTGGCGAGATGTACGACGAGGGCCTGCCACAGCTCATAGACCTGCAAGAACACCATGACCTGGCTAAGCAAGACATTGAGTACTACATCCCTGACGACCAGCAGGGCCTTGCTGTGCTTGACTTTGAGGAGTGGAGGCCACAGTGGGTTCGAAATTGGGGAAGCAAGGACATCTATCGACAGATTTCTATCGAAACAGTCAAGAAGAGGAATGTGTCGTTGTCCGATGACGAGGCAGAGGAAAGGGCAAAGATCGTGTTCGAACGTGCAGCCAAGAGGTATTTTCTCCGATCTATCCGCACTGGGAAGAAGCTGAGGCCCAACAGACTCTGGGGTTACTACCTGTACCCCGACTGCTACAACTACGACTACAACCAGGACATGGCTGGTTATACTGGAGAGTGTCCTGCCATCGAAAACAACAGGAACGATGAACTCCTGTGGCTCTGGACAGAGTCCACAGCGCTCTATCCGTCCATTTACCTGGAGCTGGTGCTCAGAGACTCCCAGCAGGCAAAGCTGTTCGTCCGGCATCGCATCCAGGAGGCCATCAGGGTGTCAATGCTCCCAAACAGCTCCTACTCTATTCCCATCTACGCCTACATCCGTCCGGTGTACAAGGACAGCATCGATGACTACATGTCAGAGGTCAGACACACCAGAGATTGCTCAACATGCTCCTTTTTGTCACTTTGTTATATACTATGCATATGAATGTCAAATACTAATCTTATTGGATGGCATGTGTCTGATACAAGGTGAAGCAACAGTACTGGTGCTTTAGTCTCTGTTAGATGTTATCTGACTAGAGAAACTAACATGGTTTAACTGACTACACACACGTGGAGCCAGCTCTGCCAATACATACACACACATCATGCACTGTGTATAGGGCACCAAGTGCAGACAGGGTCATTAATCATAATGGTCATAATGTGATATACAGAGCGCAGGGTCATTTATGGTGGCACTAGCGTACTCTTCTGCAGGACAGAGGGCAGGGCTCAGCACTCACACACACAGACAGCATAGCAGATAGGCCGCGGTACAGTCAGTGAAGGTGATTGCTTGCTTGAGTTGACGTTAACTCAAGTACAAAGTAGAAAAAGTAGAAAAGGGATATTTCAACCTGCTTGGTTGGCAGTTGTTGTTAAACCGCAGTGCGCTTCTTAATCTAATGATAAATAAAGCTCTCTGTATGTAGTCTGTTAGTTAGTTTACCATGAATCTTAGAGTACAGGAGGAATACATGTCCAGTGTGTAACATTTAGGAAGATCAGTTGGCAGAAATGATGTTTTCATTAGTGTATAATCATCTGAAAATGAGAATCGTTATGTTACCTTCAAGGAAGTGAGCCTTTTATATATAAGCTGCGGGTTGCCTTCCATGGAGTCTGCAATGTTGATCCGCCATGTTTCTACAGTAGCCCAGAACGGACAAACCAAACCACTGGCTCTAGAAAGGGCTGTTCATGTTGCAATCTCCAACTATGCCACTAAATGCCACTCAATCCTACGCACTGGAACTCTATGATCTTAAATTGCCATTATTGTTTAAATAGTAGGGATTTTTACTTGTGTTCTTGAGTTTCTTTTGATTTTAACAAGCTTATTTTACTATTGAACTTCAATGGGGAGTTTTTCAGTTTTTCAGTCAACACAACTGTGTGGAAGGCCATTTCCTGCTCTTCTCTGATGTCGCTCTGTATGTTTTTTTTTGTTCTTTTTTGCAGTTTGATCTGGTGAACACCATCGGAGAAGCTGCTGCACTCGGTGCCGCCGGCGTAGTTTCTTGGGGTGACATGAACGTCACCGACACAGAGGTAGAAAGTGACTTGACTCTAGGGGTTATTCCTCGGTTTGCAACTTCACTGCACAGCCACTAACTGACTTAACCGTCCCAAAATCCTGTAGGACTCCTGCTTAGATGCTCGACACCACCTGGAGCGGGTCATGAACCCATACATCCTGAATGTCTCCACAGCAACACAACTCTGCAGCGAGGCACTATGTCAGCGCCAAGGTCGCTGTGTGAGGAAGCACTGGGAGGAAGACGTCTACCTCCACCTCGACCCCATGCGTTACCGGATCCAGCAGCAGCGCCGCGGTGGCCCACTGACTGTGAGTGGTAGCCTCTCCCAGGATGACATCAACTGGTTTGACCGCAACTTCGACTGCATGTGCTACAGCGAGGAGCCGTGCAGATCGGTCCTAACGGTCAACGCCATCAATGAGGCTTTTATCACCACGAGGGATCAAGCTGCTGACAGGCCCCGTCCCCTCCTGGCGGTGATAATGCTACTGTGTCTGAAGTCTGCTGTGATGTAAATATAAATGAATAACACAAAACTGATACCTGTGATACAGAGCATGTGGTTGCAGGCAGTTAAAAGACAATTCCACTGTTCACTGTTCACCTTGTTTTTTTCTTGTTATTTCTGACTGTTTTTACCTGTGTTTTTATTAAAGATATTATAAATTCAGTTTAGCCAAATCTCTCACTCACAATTTTATTCACATTTGTTTCAGAATATGCATGTGAGCACAATACTAAAATAAGGTTTAAAATGTATTATTATTATAATTATTATTATTGTCATTGTTATTATTATTATTATTATTAAGGTCTTAATATAAGATTTTGGTATGACACCATAAGAAAAACACATTTTCAAATTTCCATCAAACACATTTGCAATTTATTAAATTACAGCTATTCAACCAAACAATCTCAATTCAAGGACCACTAACTAACTTGTTCCAGAGCTTTTTAGAAAGTTTGGGACAGAGATTCATAATCCCCAGAAAGTGAATCCTAATGATTTTGGTGATCTGACCACAAGGTTGATATTTTTAGTTAGGGTTGAAAAGTCTTGACTACTACTACTGGATAAAATGTCATATACAAAAGGAGTTAGTCATATTAGACCAGAAAGTTATATTTTTGAATATTATATTGAATATTTTTAAAATCCTCATGACTTTCTATCATTCTGTTCCTTATTTGGCTCAATTATAGCAGAAAATGCCCCCTTCTAATAATAATAATAATAATAGT